CTCCAGAGGCCATACGTCATATGTGGCCCTTTCAGTCATTAAATATCTATTTCTCAACCACCAACTATGTGTAGAACATGTCCTAGATACTAAGGGCAGACTAAAATTGAATTCATTTCTTACAAAAACTTGGTCAGTAGAACCAGAAAAGGAGGTTTGACATGCTATTTCAAGATATCCCTGTGGAACGATGGAACGAGATAGACCCGTTAAAAGAAATTGAGTGCATGAGTACTTAACTGTAACCAAGGGTGTCACTCCTTATAACCATAGAGGGAAGCCCTTTATGGATAACGAGACACAATTCATGGTGTTCAGTCCACTAAGCAACTCATCAGTGACTTAAGTAAAGAAACACATTCTGGTCTTATGTGCAGACAGCATTTCTTTGGGAAAGCAGGCAAAGGTGCTAACTAATAGAATCAAATTCCAAAAGGCACCATGGGAAGAACTAGCTGAAATAAAGCATAAAAAAGCACAGGGAACGTGAGATCTTGCAGTACATCAGAATTGGAAAGGGGGATGAGAATGAATGGCGGCTCGCGATTAAGGGTTCAGAGATGCCAGCGAACAGGAAAGTCCCGGAGTCCGAGTGGTGTGGCCACTGGGAAAATGAATGCAAACTTGGACTATCTCAGCACAAGCAGGGCAAGGGACCTAGGAAGGGTGCTCCTGCTCTGCTGTACACAGGCCCAGCTGCACACAGAGCAAATCTGACAGGTACTGCTCCATGAGTAACTAAAATACTTCTATATACAGACTTGCCCTGTAGGTCACCAATGCAGTAAAAATTGAAATAGATAGAATCAGAGTTCAATTTGTTAAGTCTGAAAACCACCAAACAGGTGGAGATCCCTACCCCTTAGAGTTAATGCTTTTGGATACTGCTGAAAGACTGAGTACAGAGATTATAAAAAGGGACCCAAGCATCAAAGAAAGGTTACTTGGGCTGCTCAGTGATTTCCAAACCCTGGAGCTCGTTGAAGTTCTTATGCACATGTCGGGTGATTTTAACAATACCCTCTCTGGATGGGAAGAACTCCAGTCTGACAGCATCTCCTGCCCCCTTTTCTTGATGTTATCAATGTAGCTTAACAATAGCAATCTCTGTTATTAATTTTCAACATACTTATATAGCAATATTAACTGAAGAGAAATCAAACAATCCTTTAAATCTGCTTTAGTATTTGTTTTTTTAATTTTACGGGTAGGTGGAAAAAACAGTATAGAAACAATATGAAGAGATAACCCTTAAATTCCCTTCTGGTTCATGGACACAATGACAACTGCGTTCAACTTACTGCTTGTCTTCTTCCTTCCTGGCACCCGGCTTGCCCATACAGTGCTGTGCAATGCAGGGAAAGCCATGAAGAAATGGACTGCACTACACATGACATTTCTCAAGAAAGGGAAGCTCTGTAGTGAGTCAGATCTGTCTTCCTGCAACCACTGCTGCTCTTTGGAACTGAACTTCAAAAGAAATCAAAATAATTTGTTTCTGAAGATATGGGGCATTTAAATTTTTTTAAAAAGATTTATTTATCTATTTGAAAGGCTGAGTTACAGAGAGGTAGAGAGAGAGAAAGAGAAAGATCTTCCATCAGCTGGTTCACTCCCCAAATGGCCACAATGGCTGGAGCTGGGCCAATCTGAAGCCAGGAACCAGGAGCTTCCTCCCAGTCTCCCACGTAGGTGCAGAGGCCCAAGCACTTGGGCTGCTTTCCCAGGTGCATTAGCTGGAAGCGGGATTGGAAAGAACCAGTGCCCATACAGTGCCCATATGGGAATCCTGTCAGTGCTGCAGGCGGCAGCTTTACCCACCATGCCACAGCGCTGGTCTAGCATTTAAATTCTTATCACATTGTTATCCCATCTTTAAAAGGGGTCAAAGCTAAATACAACTGGAACAGAAAAGGAATTTCTGAATCACTGATTTCAAGGTAAGCTAGCAGCTATAACACTCATAGAGTATTCACCTACAAACATACTATAAGCCAAAGTGGCGGGGGGGGGGGGGAGGCACACTCAGTAAAACTATAAACATCCCAATCAGACATACTTTTCAGTATTCTGACGCATTTATTTTAAATATTAAAGAAATCTAAAGTTTTGATGCTGAAAGGAGTCATGGAACTACTTCAATCAAACTCATTTGTGACAGGTGGTAGACAGGAAGCTCAAGGCTCCTGTATCTGTGCCTGTGCTCTTTCTACTCTCCTGAAAGGCAACTGGGTTTAACAGAAGCAGAAAATCTAGAACACAGTTCTTTGTATTTTTAGGACTATATATTTCAGTCAAGTTCAAAATGGGGTGGGGGAATACTTAGCTTTTCAGTTAATAATAAAAGCCTACATTTTCTGCAAATTCAGCATATCTTTGAAGAGGCTTGTAACCCTAAATCACCATCATAAGTAGATTAGGAGTTCAAAGACTCGATGTCTTCCTCAATCTCAAAAAATAACCTTTGCATTTTCCAATTATAGCTGGGGGGAGAGCTCTATTCACATAAACACAGAGTTCTTTGCAAAGTATGCAGTAAACACAACCCCTTTTAAGCTGGTTTTCATGGCCAAACATAACACTTTTAAACCAGTTCCAATTACCAGACAATTGTCCTTTCAGGATAGCTCACTTGTATGACCTCACTTTCAGAAATAGATTTCCAAAATGAATAACCCACTTCCCATTTTGTGTCAGGTAAAAAGAGCTTCAAGGAGGACAGGTGTTTACTAAGCCCAGGTATCAAGGAGCCCTTCAAAATACCATTCCAGTCTTCAGGCAAGGAAAAGCATTCCAAATCCATATTACACAGCCTTAACTACAACAGGCATCAGAAATGCCAAAACATGATGATCTAATAGTTCCCCTATTCAAGTAAAAGTTACATGCCATAAAAGTAAAATTCTTTAAGAAAGTCTATGATTTCAAAACACGGCATAACATTTTATGACAAATACATACTCCAATCACCTGGGGAAAATCCAGGGCCCTTATTCCATAACCAGATGCTCCACCTACATACCTGTAATGCACTTGCTTTATTTTCCAGACTGTTTCTTAACCAAGTTCATTTCACCCCATCTATAGGTAGCATGTGGGTACTGATAGAAGCTGGTTCTGATTTCATTTCCTACTTCCCAGATGTTTGCTCAGTAGCTTTGCGTTCTGTTTCTCCTTCAGCTATTTATGAATACACTCTACTTTAGAACAAATTCAGCGTGTCAGATCTGAAGCCAGGCAAGGCACACAATAAATGACAGCTATAAAGGCAAAATGTCTACAGTTTACACGTAAGTTTGGCTACCTAAGCAAGATTTGGACAGACTGTCATGGTCTTGCTTTAGAATAAAGTACCTCAAAATGTAACTGAGAACTTACTGCTGTTGAAATGGCCAACTATAGGCTATTGTACTTGTCAGTAAGGGGTTGTATTTGGAAATAAAAACCCAAATATCATCTGGAGAGGAGAAAATAAAAACATCCCTAACACAAACCTTGGTATGAATCATGCAGATATACAAGTACTTCAACTCTTCCTCAAATGCATCAACTGAATCTTAGTGAACAATTAATACTATTTGTACCCAAAACTCAAGGAAGATTGCACTTTCCCATGAATAACACTTTGATGCCTTTCTGAATTAAGCAGTGAAACTAAATCAAGCAGTAAACATGCTCTAAGTGAAAATGGCCTCTAAAAGGAATTACAAACTCATCCTACAACTCTGAAATCCTCAAATAAGACCAAACATGGAACAGACATTCTTAAATGTGTGCCTAAATATAGTAATCAGGTTGTCTCTTAAAATTCACCTTTAGGAATCTTATCCCAGAAATACCGGGCCACCTTTCCATACCTTCAAAAGTATCCATACAGGTTTTATACTGAAGTAACACATTTCCGATGAGATTTTTTTTCTTCCATCATTAATTGTATAATTAGAAAAAATACAACCTAGATTGCAGACACAGGCAACTCGAACGGGCAGTTTACTAAATGCCTGTCATAAGAAAGCCATCTAGTGTTAACGTTTAGAAATGAAAACTGCAGACAAAAGAGGCAAAGACAAATTTGCGCGACTATCTTGAACTTACTGAGCAAACCCGTGACAATCACCAAGACTCTTTGTTTTGGGCTTTCCTTGTCTCTGTTGCGTTTTCTTTTTAAAGCCACCCCTGTTAAAGCCAAGTCTAAATCTAAGCAAAATCCAAAACGTCTACAGTTTTATTTGGACCAAAACACTGCTTTTGGTGAGCAGAATTTCGTGACCCATGCACTTGTTTTTCCAATACCCACGCCGGAGTCATTCTGGGCTGATTTAATTTAACCGAAGCAGGTTAATGATGACAAATACCTCCCAGAGGGCTAATGCCAAGTTGTTCTCTCTTCCCGAGAAGCCACGGCTCTCGCTGTAGATGATGAGCCCGAAATTGATTCTCTGGGTTTGCGGCACGGCAGGAAATTAATCTGTAGGTGCTCCTGGGGATATTCCCAGGACGCGGTCAAACTACCCGTTCTGACGAAGGGGACCGCAGGAGGCCCGGCAGCGGAGGGGGTCCGAGCGCTGCACACCGGCGGCCGCGCAAAGTGGGAAGAAAGGTCGAGCTGAGTGAGAAGGGCGCTCGCCCGCTGCTCGGGGTCTCACAACAAGGGGGCCGTCCCGGCGAGCGCGCGGAGAGCGGCGCCGCCGCAAGTTCCTCGGTCCCCAGCCCGGCGCGCCGGGGAAGCCGCGACCCCGGTCTCCCCGACCCTCAATCACAGCCCAGCCCGGGCACCTGGTTGAGGTCCTCCTCGGTCCCCGTGTCACCGCGACGGTGCCCTGATAACTTGGAGAGAACCAGCGGCCGCGGCTCCCTCGTCCACCCTCGGCTGGCAAGCGTGGCGCATCTGCCAGCCGGACCCCGCGCTCCGCGACCCCGCCGCCGTCACCCCTCAGACGCTCCCGCGAAGGGCAACCCCTTACCCTCCGGGACCGTCGCAGAAGCGCCCAGACACGCACCTCGGGAACGCCGTCCTCCGAGACCTGCTACAGCCCGCGCGCGTCTGGCGGCGCGTACCGGGGCAGCTGCCTTGCCGCCCGCCGCTGCCCCGGGCTGCCCATCGGCCCGGACTCTGCCCGCGCCGGACTCCGGCGGAGGCGGCCCGGACCCGCCGGCTGCCGCTGGAGCTCTCGGCCTGTGAACAGGCAGGCGGCCGGCGGGGGCGCGGCGCTCCTCCTCCGTCTTCCTCCTCCTCCCGTTCCGCCGACTCCTCCCGGGCTCCCCGTCTGCCGCGCCGGCTCCCGACGCCGCCGCCCGCCTGCCGGGCGGCACCGCCCCTCGCCCGCTCTGCGGCCTCCCATTGGCCGCAGCCTGCAGGCCCCCTCGGCCCCGCCCTGCGATTGGGCGCGGGCGCCGTCTGTCCCACCGCCCGCGGGGCTCGGGGCGCAGCCGGTGCGCTGTTCCCAGGCCCCGCGGCGCGCGGGAGCGGCGCGTCCGGGAGGGGCATCGAGTCCCTTCCCCGGGGAGTGGGCTGTGGGGGCCGCTGTGAACCTGGAACCCTGACTCCGGGCGACCCGTCACTGCTGCCGACCGGACTCTCTTTCGCTCCTCTGGAGAAGTTAAAAACCCCAAATCCGGCTCCGATCCGTCCCCTTGCTGCAGATGCGACCCCGCCCGGCCCTCTGCTCACCGGAGACAGGACGGACTCGCTGGCCCGGCGCTCCGGTCCCTGCGACTCGGGAGCCTCAGCGCCCCCGGCCGGGACAACACGCACAGCCGTGGGCACGGAGCGGCACCTGCCACGGCCTCGCAACCGGCCAAACGGTTCGACTCACTTTGTTCAGAAGAGCCCCGGCGGAGCGCGCCTTCGTGTGCGGGCCCCAGGGGTGCGGGAGGGTGCACGTAGAAACGCTTTAGGAAATGGAAAAGGGATTATGGTGGAGGAGAGGCCTTTCCGAAACGGGAGGCACGCAGGGAGAGGCTGGGAGTCCCCGCGTCCCCCGGCCCAGCCCAGGACGTCTCTCCCCGCCCGCCAGCGGTGCTCAGCCAGGAGAGAAATGTTCTTAGATCCTTATCTCAACAACGAGGAAATGAACTTTTTAGACCCATAGTGTCTGCTTTCCGAGGTAATGTTGATCACCCGGGAGAAAGCATTACTTGACGCTATCGATTTACACAGCTTGCCACTTGACTTGGACCCTGAAAGATGAGGAATCGCAGAAGAATGCCTTATGCTAGACTGGAGTTGACTCTGCCTGAGAGGTATGGTGGGAGTCACCTACCAGCAGGAGGCTTAGGTGGCCCGCGACTTCCCTTCCAGCCACTCCGCAGGGTTTCCGGAGCAGGCTGTATTCCCTGAGACTGAACCGGAGATGTCAGTTCCTCAGAGGCAGAATTCTTCCTGAAGAGATAAGGTTATCTCCACTTCCCTATCAGAAACACTTCCTAGAACACAACCCCCTTAAAAGTTACAGGCTGTCCCTCCCATGCTTTATCTTTGAGATCTAAAGCATACATACACGGTGTACAGTCTTTTATATCTTTTTCAAATAAGCATGACACCTGGGAATGGGTACAATGAAAACTGTCAAATAGCACCTCTATGACTACAAAATTTCTGGCTTCCCCAGGTTTTGATGGGCTTCCCAACTCTCACCCTATGATCATCTTTTATCAGATTGTTATGGATTCGTTCAGCCAACATTTATGGAGACCCTGTGAGCTTATAAAAATGCATGGGACACAGGCTCTGCTTTTCAGCAGTTCATCTCACACTCTCCTGACATTGCAGATGCTTTTGGAGAAGGAAGAACAAAAATCCCACAAAAGTAGTCATAAAGAGACTTTTCCTGGGTGTGTGTGGGGGTGCCTGGGGAGGAGCCTTCCCTTCATACATCAGGTGACGGTACTCCTTACACCCCACAGTGTTGCACATGCCTGTCCCATTATTCTGTAAGGGCCATGAGGAGAAGAACTGTGTCTGCCCTCCAACGTGTTGCTGTAGCACAAAGCCAATCCTGAACCATTGCGATAGGTCTTGCTGCATTGTCTAATAGAGGAGAGAAACATAGCCCTTTCATGTCCCTATGTGACCATTGTACATGAAGTCTGACCAGACATTCTCAGTGACAATGCTGGCCACAGTTCTCTTCCTCTGTCACTTTCCAGCCCTCTTTTTCTGTTTTGCAAACTAAAATTAAATATCTAAGCCCTTAGCTCCACTACCAAAGTTGGCAGCAATTTTTTACAATGTAGGTAATTGTGCAAACCGTTGTGTGCCTTTGTGAAAGTCCTTAAAGAGTTTCTGACAAGGCCGGTGCTGTAGTGCAGCGGGTTAGAACCCCAGCCTGAGTGCTGGCATCCCATATGGGCACCAGTTTGAGTCCTGTCTGCTCCACTTCTGATCCAGCCCCCTGCTAATGCACCTGGGAAAGCAGCAGAGGATGGCCCATGTCCTTGGGCCCTGAACCCACATGGGAGACCCAGAAGAAGCTCCTGGCTCCTGGCTTCGAATCAGCTCAGCTCTTGCCATTGCGGCTATTTAGGGACTGAACCAACAGATGGAAGACCTCTCTCTCTCTGTCTCTATCTCTCTGTAACTCTTTCAAACAAATAATAATAAATCGTAAAGAGAGAGAGAGAGAGAGAGAGAGAGACTATCCCAGAACTCAGAGCTGCAAGCAACCCTCCCGGATCAGAACGTGCCTGCCCTCAGCAAGCAGGCACTGCGCCCTTTTCTCTTGCCTGAACAGCGCCTTTCAGAACAATGGTGATGCAAACAAGGGCCTCAGCATATCCTTCTGAAGAATTCTTGTTCTAAAGCTATAAATTTTGCTGGTTTAAAAAAAAATTGACTATGAGGTATGAAATTATATTTGCCTGAGAGCTAGAGAGAACGATCATATGTTTTTATCTTCTCACTTTCACCTTTCCCCAAGCTAAGATTTCCTCTCGCTTTCTCCCCAAGCCTCATTTGCTATCCCTCAAAAGTCTTCTGTGGTGGATTTCAGCAGGCTCTAGAGGGTTCTAAAGAAACAAACTCAAGGAATTAATTCTCTTTGCAATTCTGATTCAGCACATCAACTCCTGAAATAATTCCAACATCAGTCTACCTATTTTTCTCTAAGAAAAATAAAAGGCATTGAGTTCAAAGACATACCAGCTGTCTTCTCAGTTCCAAGGTTTTGAGCTTGTTGGCTGACCTTGCCTGGGACTTGTATCTATTTACTTTTGAAATGAGCAAAATAGAGGTTTTATTTTCTTGATGCACTACAGCAAGAGTCTGCTTACAGATGACTGTAATAAACCTGAATGGCTAAGTCAAAGAAGGGTTTCTATTCCCACCTTTATCTCTCCCTTCCCTTTTCTGCTGCCAACCCTCTTCCTAACTATTTCTTTTATGTTAAATGAACGTCCATCATTTGCAACGAATAGGTATTGATTGTATACTATGTGCAGGGGATTACGTATAGACTCAAAGGACTCAAGGACTGTTTGCCAGAGGGTGAATTTCATGACATGGGGCAGCACTCAAGAGTGGGTGCTCAGGAGCATCAGTGAGTGGTGCCCACAGGGAGGACAGGAGAGCCAGCAGTCTGCAGGCAAAGCTGGTGCCAATTGCCTCGTTTCTCAAACCGGCAGGCAGGGAGGAGAAAACAGAGCAATACCCCTGGCGAGAGCAAGCACAGTGGGCAAAGACACAGAAACCAACTGAGCAAGGTGAAAGGTCACTACAAAACACACCAAACACCGGAGTAAGGGAGAAGGTTTATGGTCCGGTGGGGGAAACCCGACAGGCTGCCTCCCTGTGCAGGAGAAAACAGCCTGTACTAGAACAGGTCTTACATAGCTTTGCACAGGTAAGGAAGTCGGAGCTGACATTTAGGGTGGGGGTGGGGGTGGAGCTGACACTTGTGATTGGGCCATTTGGTCACCTGACTTCTAGTAAGTCCAGAGGGACTTAGGAAGCCAGTACCATTTTACTAACACAAGGCACGTTGGGGAAACAGCCATGCCCTTTGGCCACACATGGGCTTAGTCACTTAAATAACAAATCTTCATATGGCACTTTGGCCATGCCAGTCCTATTTCTCCTTAGAAGGGACGTCCCCACATACAGATGAGCATATGGACACTGCTTCACTTTCTTTCAAAATGGAAACCTCTCACAACAGAAACTTGTTGTGGGCTTTTGAAGTAAAGCAAGAAGTGCCAAGTCCTTCTGCAATTAAGAAACAATGGTTTGATATAACTCAGGAAGCTTGGTTCCAGGCCTTGGTCTTGTATACCAGTTGTCCTGATGAAAGCAAAGCATGTGTTGCTTCTATAGTAAAAACCAAAATAATATTGTAAGAATCATTAAATAATGAGCCAAATGCTACATACTATTTATAGGAGCCTAAGACGAAATCTGTATAATAGCTAGGAAATAAACGCATTTGGTTCTGCAAACATATACGGAAGCCTACTTGGTTCTCAGTCTGTTCTATGGGTTGTAGAAGACTGTTACATTTCAAAACAAGATCAGTCTCAAGGAAGTACAATACCGCCCTGCTGGGATGTTTACATAGGAAACAATTCCAATAGTGCAAAGACAGTGCATTTAAAATGCCAAGCTGAATTTAACGTTGCATAGATCAGTGCTACCAGAGTGATCAATGGTCAAAAGCAAATAGCCTTCAGAAGGGGCCAGCACTGTGGCACAGAGGGTTAATGCCCCGGCCCAGAGCGCCAGGAATCCCATATGGGTGCAGGTTGGAGTTCCGGCTGCTCCACTTCCCATCCAGCTCTCTGCTATGGCCTGAGAAGGCGGTAGAAGATGGCCCAAGTCCTTGAGCCCCTGCACCCGCATGGGAGACTCAGAAGAAGCTCCTGGCTTTGGATCAACTCAGCTCTGGCTGTTGTGGCCATTTGGGGACTCTACCTCTCCCTGTAACTCTTATCTTTCAAATAAATTAAATAAATCTTTAAAAACAAAAAAGAAGGGAAACTTTCTAGTACTCTTGATTGTTTCACAAATAAGAAATCCTGTATGTGGGTCTTTGCTCTAATGAGCCCAATCTAGTGCAGCTCCAAGAATCTTCTAAGACAGGTGAGTTGTTCCTTTTCTGATGTCAAACTTCAGGCCATTGCTCTTCACATTTTATTTCCCCTATTGTCTTTCTCTGGTTCAGACCTGCCACTAAGCAACTTGTCCAAACTTTATCATCTTAAATTTGTCTTCTGCCCTCTCACCTCACCTCACATTAAAAGAAGAGAAGGAGGGAGAGAGGGAGGGAGGGAGGGAGGGAGGGAG